AACAATGACCCAGTTCCAGACTTTGAAGTCAGAATCAACACTGAATGTGAATATTTAATTTCCCTCATATTATCATCAGGCTTGTGCAATAACAAGCTCTCTGCTGGATTTAACAATTTCATTACAAAAAACGGCTTTTGTTGGCATTGGTGCACTGTAAAAAATATTTTCAAGATTTGTTATCACAACATATTTTCTTTTGTCAAATCAACTTTATAATAATTTATTTAGTTGAGATAATTTATTATTTTGAGTTTCTGATGGTTAAATTATTCTACTTCATTGTATTAACTCACTTTTTTCCAGTTCAATCAACTTAAAATTTTAAGGCAACCCAGGTTACTTACTTTTTTAAGTTAAACCAACAATATTTTTTACAGTGTAGTAATCATAACATTTTTTTCTGTTGTCAAATCAACTTAAATAATTTATTTAGTTCAGATAACATATAATTTTGAGTTTCTGATGGTTAAATTAATCTCCTTCATTGTATTAACTCACTTTTTCCAGTTCAATGAACTTAAAATTTTAAGGCAACCCAGGTTACTTACTTTTTTAAGTTAAACCATCAATATTTTTTTTTACAGTGGTTGCCAGAGAGTTGCTATGGGTTGCTAAGGTCTTCTGAGTTGTTGTTAGGAGGTTGCTAGGAGGATTGTGTTGTTGGTGGTTACTTACTTGAGTCAAAAGAATCCATACTTTAACTTACTTGGATGTAAGTCTTGTACGTTTATTCAAGGAGTGGACATTTGAAAAATATTTCAGTCACCCTTTGTGTCTTAAAATGCTTCTAACTAGGCAGGCTAAATCAGAATAGTAACACTCAGATTAAAGTTAGTTCATATTTTATTGTCTAATAAGATTAGTGGCAATTGGTATCATATACTGTAACACCTGCTGCTGTTATGTAATATTTAAGGAGTTAAGCAGGAGTTTGAGCAGCTTCAAATCTGTCATAATCTCTATTAAGGCTCTCTCCCCCCTCATTAAACGTGTTTCATGCTGATACAGAGGTATTATGAATTACAACGACAAGTTATGCATTAATCATTGTCACTTAAAGGAGTTGCTCACTTTTTAAAAAAACGTTTGCTGATAATTTACTCACCCCCATGTCATCCAAGATGTCCATGTCTTTCTTTCTTCAGTCGAAAAGAAATTAAGGTTTTTGATTAAAACATTCCAGGATTTTCTCCATATAATGGACTTCATTGGGTACCAAACGGTTCAAGGTCCAAATGAGAGTTTCAGTGCAGCTTCAAAGGGCTTTAAACGACACCAGATGATAAATAAGTGTCTTATCTAGCGAAAAGAGCTGTCATTTCAAATAAAAAAAAAGTTTAAGTTTAAAAAAGTTTAAGTTTTATAAGCTCAAATGCTCGCCTTGCTCTGTTCTGTGATGAGCGTTCGTGACTCTCCTGTTCAAACTCGTTCATCAAAATGAACAAATCTTTTTTCGAGTCAGTTTGTTAATTTCGTTTGTTGGATGAATCAAATGACTCGAAAAAAGATTCGTTTATTTTGATGAAAGAGTTCGAACAGGAGAGTCACACAGAACAGAGCAAGGCGAGCATTTGAGCTTATAAAACTTAAAGTTTTTAATTTATTTTTGAAATGACCGATCGTTTCGCTAGATAAGACTCATATCCATCATCTGGGGTCGTTTAAAGTCCTTTGAAGCTGCTCTGAAACTCTCATTTGGACCTTTAACCGTTTGGTTCCCATTGAAGTCCATTAAATGGAGAAAAATCCTGGAATGTTTTCATCAACAACCTTCATTTCTTTTCGACTGAAGAAAGAAAGACATGGACATCTTGGATGACATGGGGGTGAGTAAATTATCAGCAAAAGTTTTTTTTCTCATTCTTAATAACTTAAACACCTCTGATTGATCATTGCGTTCAGTCTAAAGTTGCTTATGCGCAAAATTGGAATATCGCATTAAACCTTTGTGTATAAAGCACGGTTTTCATCCAGTGAGTCGAAGAGAACAAAACTGGTGCTAAATATCACTAAGAAAAGTTAGAGTAAGAGAAGCCACTGTTAATAATACTTTTCCGTATATAATGAATTGCTTGCTTCTCAGAGTGTTCAGACGAAACACATAAACATGTTATCTTGCTTTCGGAGGCAGATGTTGCTGTTTGGGAACGCAGTCATGTAAGACAGTTCTGGGAGGTAATTATACTGTACCACTTTGATGACAGATGTTCAGAATGACCAAAACAGCTTTTCAGATGTTATGCAAACAGCTTTTCATGCTTGAATGTTCAAAAAAAATATTTTCAGTTATATGATTGCAATCGTACCTCTCTTCCCAGTCTGTCAGTAATGCAACGCTCTGTTTACTTCCTGTCTCTATGAAGCTCCTCCTTTCAAACACCACAATGTGCTCTGATTGGCCGGCTGGACCAGTGTGACGTGATTTGGTCAACTGCTTCTCGCGTATTTGGGAAATGTCAAACCCGTTCTGCAATTACTGCGAGTTTCAATGCACTATTAACACAACTCAACCAGGACTCCCCTTTATTTCGCATATGCCTTGGGCAAGAATTATTTAAATGAGGAATATTGTAATGAATTCGTTCCCAGAAGAAAACTCATGACTACAATGGAGGCATTTCAGGGAGTTCAGACACAGTACTAACGGATATTGAAAATTAGACTTTGTGCTTTGTAATTGTGCAGACTTTTTCCATGCTCAAACAGCAATGGAGCCCTTTAAAGAACCAAGTGTCTGTAAAGGGTAAAAGTGTTTAAGGATTTTGTGATTTGTGGCACTAATTTGTGTTTAAATTGATAGTATTTCAGTGGGTTCATGCGGGAAACTGACTCCTAATGCAAAGTTTGTATGCAAGCAGTCACCCCTCTTGATGAAACTTCATTTCTTGCACCATTTTGATAAGCTAATTTACAGTGTGGTAGTGCTTGGCTATTGCTATAATCAGCACACACCAAAATATCCTCACATCGGGCTTCGTTTGCAGAACATATTTGTGTCAATATCACTAAAACCCTTTAAAATGTGTTTCAAATCAATACAATTTACATTCAAGTAGTGTTTTCAAGCAATTTACTCAGATTTGTGTCTCATGAATGAGTGTGTTCATGTTAACTTTTGTAACCTAATTAAACAATGCACATTTTTTTTTACATTTTTCTCACTCAACCAAGAAACCACATTAATCGTCGTGGAAAAACTGGGAAATATTAGAGAATTTTACTGTGAAATAGTTTTAATTGCTATAAAATTATTTTTAAAAAAATCCAGCAATCTGAAATGACAGGAAAAGTCATGGAAATTCATTGGTGAGAAGATGCAGGTATCCTGAAATGATCCTTTCAGTGAGTCTTCTTTTCTTTCCATGCTAGTTGGCCATAAATATTATTTTGCTGCAAGTTCTCAAACCACAAGCAATTAGGTCATTGTGCGGAGGACGGTTACCTGCTCAGATAATACTTAAATACTGTTGACATGGAGAGGGCTCTGTCGAACAGTTTCACGTTTACCGTGACAATTGCATGTCGTAAATGAGAGTGAGTCCATTAGCTGATAAGTTCAGCCAAGATTTATGGCATCTTAATGTCTCCCTGTGGGACAATAAAAGCTGGTGATCTAGTCGTGACAATGAAGCCTGGTTTTTTTTAGCCCCCTTACCAATGTCAACAGCAATATCCTTTAGCAAACTGCTTTATTTTGTCTATATTTATTGACATTACCATGACACTTTTCAATATGGATCTAAGCCCTGTTAAGTTTGAAGATGGTTGGTAGCAGGAGACACCAGTGAGGGGTTGGTTAATTCCTAAAAGGACCTATGAAATTGTCTTGAGCTCATTGCTCGGGTGAACGAGTGAGTGTGAGACTTGATCTAGGTCAGGGCTGCCTGTCTGACCCCATCACTTCTTCCGTCTGAAGCCCTTGGTCTTCGTCTTCTGCCTTTTCTGCTGCAAAACCAAATGAACTCTCAGGCAGATGCTCTAAAAATGTTTATCATGGCGTCTTTTATGCACTCTGCAAAATAAGCAGGATTCAATATGTATTGATTTTGTGTGGTATTTCAGAAAAGATGCTTGATGTCATTGAGTTCATATAGAGACAATAAAATATGAGTAAAAAAATTGATTTTGAATGTTCGACCAGACCCGCTGTTGCTCATTTGTTACAGAAGCTACAGAAGCAAACATGGACTGCTTTTGGTGAAGAAAACCGGGACCTCAGGGCAAAAATAAACAGATATATGTATAAAATTAACTAAAATATATGTGACTGCAAATTTAAGACATACAAAAGTCGTTCAAAAGTTCGAGGTCGGTATGATTTTTTCCACGTTTTTGAAGAAAGTCTCTTATTCTTAACAAAGTTGCATTTATTTGATTATAAATACAGTAAAAGCTGCAATTAAATATTATTACAACTATTATATATATAGTAATAGTTGTAATAATATTTAATTTAAAAATATTTAAAATTCAGTATAATATTTAAATATTATACTGAAATTGAAATATTATACTGAAATATAATATATAGTTGTAATAATATTTAAAATAAAATAATATTTAAAATTCAGCTTTGCGTCACAGGAATAAAATAATTATGTGTATATATATATATATATATATATATAAATTGTTTTATTCCTGTGATGCAAAGCTGAATTTTCAGCATCCTTACTCCAGTGTCACATCATCCATCAGAAAATATGCTGATTTGGTGCTCAAGAAACGTTTTTATATATTATTATCAATGTTGAAAACAGTTGCATACAATTCTTGAGTAAATTGTGATTTCAGATTTCAGTTTTTGGATTCTTTGATGGATAAAAAGTTCAAAAGGACTTTATTTTAAATATAACTTTTTTTGTTACAATATCTCGTTCGATCAATGTGAAATTGTGCATAGTGTATATGTATTTAAAAAAAAAAAAAGAATAATCAAAGACTTATTAGTTGTAATTATTTATTCAAATCACATTTTTGTCTTTTCTGTATTATAGGTTGAAGAAAAAGTCCCAGTCAGTGGACATCCCTGATGAGAGTTATGCCGGTTCATTCGTCAAAGACCTGCTGGCGTCGCCTATGATACAGAATGTGACCAGATCAGTTAAAACTGAAGAAAAGGGGATCAATACCACCAACATCCAAAAGGCTCGTAGTCCTCGACGTGGAGAGCTCAAGCGAGGCTATACCATAGGTGCGTTACGTCTTCAGTAACCCTTCTGCACACTTGTATTATGTTATTATTTCCTTTGGCTTGGGTTATTATGTTGCATTTTAATTTAATTTAATCTTAAGTATTGTAATCACTCTATGTATTTGTTTTAATCGAAGGATTTAATGATTTTAGGGTGTCTTCTTACTTACTGAGCATGTTTTGGTGCATTAGAAAACACTTCTAGTGCAATTCGAACACATTAACATGAACATTATCATACAATGGAAAGGAATATTCCAGTGAGACTTGTTAGTTATGCTTAATCCAGTGTTGGCACAGGAACTGGCTGGCTGGCCCTGCGGTAAGAGGGAAATGGATAGCTTTGAGACTGTAATCAGAGGAGAAAAGAGGATCCCATCCCTCTGTGGACACACACACACACACACACACAGAGTAATTACTCCTGTGTTGTAGGAGATTCTCCAGCTTCTAGGCTAGACCAAGAACCCTTACAGTAACAATAATGAAGGCACTTTAAATAAAATATAGGGCTGGGAAATAAATTGTCTCGAGATCACAATAGAATTTACGTAGATAATGGTGATAAGCTTTACTATTTTTACTCGATATGGATTAATCTAACAGAAATAAATGCTACAACAGCCTGTTATAGTGCATGTCACTATTAAGTGTCTATGTGTAAGTGAATGATACACAAACTCAGACATGTGATGTGATGCTCGCGGTGCTTTAAGCATCTGCCGTCTCAATATATGAGGACATGAACTGCCTTTTGGAGAGTCACTTCATTACTCATTTGAGAAAAACTACCATCAAATACACATTGAAACTGAAACTAAAATGGAAAGATCTTCAAAATAAAAGTTCAGTTTAACTTCAAGAAATTATGACGGAAATATATTTGTATGTAGCCCATATTAAATATATAACATTATAAAATATTATTATTTCTAAGAAATATCATACAATATGTGTTTCATTCATATTTGAAACTTATTTGACAAAAAAATAAACTTAATGTTTTGTAGTAGATTAATGTTATATTTTCATTCATCATTTTATTGTTTGTTTATATAAACTTGTATCAAATCATAAAACAATATAAATAACAATAAATAAAATGATAAATCCTTAATTTGGGGGGAAATAAATATGGATTCCTTGGGGGCCTTACATTATACGTTTAATTGTGAACAATATGAATGTTTACAAGGTCTTAACAAAAATGTGCAAAGCATTTTCTTCCCCATGAAGTTAATTGAATATTATGATAAATATCAATGTCATATATCACCCTACTATAATAATTTAAATGTGATGGCAAAGCTGAATTTCCACAGTCCAGTTTTACACATGATTTACATGTCCTAATAGCTTTGTTTTTCTGTCATAATTTTCCTCTTGTTTCTTATAAGAAGTTTTCTACGCAAAATATAGCCTCACTTACTGTTTGCCATCTTTGTGGTGAATGAAAATAAAAATCAGCCTCACTTTCACTTTTGCTTCATCACTATCAATTTCATCAGGGCATAATAACAAGGAGACATTTTCCAAATCTTTGATTACCTTATTCATGTGAAGTTTCAGAAGGCTTTCTTGACCAAACAATTTTAAAGTTGCGTGCATAAGAATATTTTACAAGGTAGTTCACCATAAATAATGCACCGAAATAGTCTCGCTCTTTCAAACCGCTTCTGATCTTTTGAGTACGGCTACAAATAGCCGTGATGCATCAAGCTTCCTAATGGCCATTTTAGGAGAACTGGCTGTTATGGTGGTAAATATAAATGCACTCGTACCCTCAGGTGACCATGTAAAGGTGCATTTGTGTGTAGTTTCACACCCAGTGAGTCAATCCATAAGCTCAGTTAACTTTGTGAGCATGCAATAATTACTTTAGCAAGATTTTTTTTTTCTCCAAAGGACAGATATAAGAGGTATTTTGAGACGTCCCAGCATCGCTTCCGTTACGGCTAATGTTTCTCATTGTTACCTACAGGGCAGGGTTGACGTCAGCCTGAGGCTTCTGAGTCTCCTGAGTCTAATGATGCAGCTCTGCTATTAGTTCTCCAGCAGTCGGGTGTCTCTCCCTATTAACTGTCTGAGCAGAGAATCTTTTAATCAAAGCTCTTTGATCAGATCTCCGCCGGGGTGGTGTACTAGATGCCATAAGTCAGACTAATTAGACTGTTAATCATGGTGATTTGTTCGCTGTTTAGGACTAGTTCACTTACAGATGAAAATTATCCCATGATTTACTCACCCTCGAGCCATCCTTGGTGTATATGACTTGAAATAAATTCTAGAACAGCCTGAAAGTGCATGTCACTATTAAGTGATTTCTCACACATGCGATGCTTGCGGTGCTTTTAGCATCTGCCGTCTCAATATATGAGGACATGAACTCATCTCCAGAGTCTGAGTCACTACATGACTCATTTGAAGAAAACTACCATCAAATGCACACTGAAACTGACACGAAAAAGGAAAGATCTTCAAAATAAAAGTTCAGTTTAACTTCAAGAAATTATGACGGAAATATATCACTACTTTTCAAAGTAAAATATTTATAAGAAATATAATACAATATAAAACAAGATGTTTTTTCATCCATGTTTTTATTTGACAAAAAATAAACAATGTTTTGTAGTAAATTTATGTTATATTTTCATTTTATTACGTTTTAAAAGCTTGCTTGCTTTGTTAATGTTTATATAAACTTGTATCAAATCATAAAACACAGAATGCGTTCTTCTTTCAGACGAATACAATCAGAGTTATGTTGAAGGGACACTCCATCGTCTTGACGCTCTTACGTCGTCATATTATATTAGCGCGCATTATGTGTGAAATGATTTCCAGGCGGTAGCGTAGAGTGGAGCCCAACTCTAGTCTACATTGATGGGCGGAGTAGTGGGAGTGGCCTGCGGAGCTGAGCATTGCAATGCACTATGGGGATTGTTGTTTACAATCCACAAGCACTAAAAAGTCATTTTCTAACTTTTATCGGCCAAGAGGGACCCAAATTAGAAATGTATGATACTATTCTACTACATATATGACCCACTTTCATATTCATGTCTGTCTTCACCGGTGGAATTACTCTTTAATAAATGTCCTTTTTTTAAAACTTTATAACGTGAAAAAACTAGCTTCCGGCCAATCGAACATAAGGATTTGACTTAAGTGTAAAGCGTAACTTGTGCGAGTATTGATTTTTACGCTATGCCACGACGCTCTACGCTACTTCCGACGTCACAAGTTGCGTAAGTTGCGCTTTAGGTACAAGTAGACTGCGTATGGCCGTTAGCTAGAATTTTACTTTGTAATGTGTTAAATATGAATTTTTGTCTTGCACAAACTCATCGTTTTGCTTCAGAAGGCCGTTATTAACCAACCAGAGCCGTGTGGAGATCATTAATAATGGATAGTTGCACTTTTTTGAGCCTCAATCTGTTGGTTGCAATCCACTGCCATTATAAAGCTTTGGAAGAGCGAGGATATTTATTAATATAACTCTGATTATATTCGTCTATACACCTAGGATGGCTTGAGGGTGAGTAAATCATGGGGTAATTTTCATTTGCATCACATTAGAGTTCAAATAAATGCCTTTTATAAATGTTTTAGCAGTAAGTGTGGCTTAGATACAGAATTTTCTTTGAGGCTTTTGCACAATTGTACATGTTCCTAAATGCTGTCCTTGCATCTATTGTGTCCAGCTGTTCTATGAATATGAGTGATGCAATCAGTATATTTGTTTTGGATGCTTTCTCTCCATTTTCAGGACATCAAGGGTTAAATGAAAAAGCACAGTAAGGCATTCTTGGCTTTTAAAGCCTTTTATAGCTGTGCCTGTATTGGAGATTGAACCTTACAGCTCAGAATTAGCTCTTGTATGTTGCTCCCTCACAAACACAACACACACACAATCAAAAAGTAATCTTCTCAAGTGAAGTGCATTGGACGCAGAGCTTCTGCTGGATGTAAAATGAGAGTGTTCCTTCCCCATACTCACTCTTGTGTATGTGTCACATAAAATATGGTGTTTATTTGTTTTCTTTCTGCATGATATTGTGAAAACTTACGAACTTACCCATATTTATATACAGTATACATACACAGTATACACTCACCTAAAGGATTATTAGGAACACCATACTAATACTGTGTTTGACCCCCTTTCGCCTTCAGAACTGCCTTAATTCTTCGTGGCATTGATTCAACAAGGTCCATATTGAAAGGATAGCATCTTGCAGTTGATGGAGATTTGTGGGATGCACATCCAGGGCACGAAGCTCCAGTTCCACCACATCCCAAAGATGGTCTATTGGGTTGAGATCTGGTGACTGTGGGGGCCATTTTAATACAGTGAACTCATTGTCATGTTCAAAAAACCAATTTGAAATGATTCGAGCTTTGTGACATGGTGCATTATCCTGCTGGAAGTAGCCATCAGAGGATGGGTACATGGTGGCCATAAAGGGATGGACATGGTCAGAAACAATGCTCAGGTAGGCTGTGGCATTTAAATGATGCCCAATTGGCACTAAGGGGCCTAAAGTGTGCCAAGAAACATCCCCCACACCATTACACCACCACCACCAGCCTGCACAGTGGTAACAAGGCATGATAGATCCATGTTCTCATTCTGTTTACGCCAAATTCTGACTCTACCATCTGAATATCTCAACAGAAACCGAGACTCATCAGACCAGGCAACATTTTCCAGTCTTAAACTGTCCAATGTTGGTGAGCTCTTGCAAATTGTAGCCTCTTTTTCCTATTTGTAGTGGAGATGAGTGGTACCCGGTGGGGTCTTCTGCTGTTGTAGCCCATCCGCCTCAAGGTTGTGCGTGTTGTGGCTTCACAAATGCTTTGCTGCATACCTCGGTTGTAACGAGTGATTATTTCAGTCAAAGTTGCTCTTCTATCAGCTTGAATCAGTCGGCCCATTCACCTCTGACCTCTAGCATCAACAAGGCATTTTCGCCCACAGGACTGCCGCATACTGGATG